CTTTGTTGCAGCTTTCAAACGGGGCCAACAGATTCTGATATCTTTCTTCCCAACACAAGATGGGAACTGTGCTCCTCTGCTTGAATCTTCAGTTCAGTATTTATCAGAGCAAGAACACCTTCCTCTCGTGCCTGAGTCTGTGCCTAGATCCCTGCCATTTTCTTTTGTGTGCTGGGGATTGAATCCAGGGCCTTGGGCATGCTCAGCAAGTGCTCTACCATTGAGCCACATCTCTAGCCCCTACTAATGCCAACATTTTATCAGTTTAGATTGGTTAAATATTGGTTCAAGTACACCAAAACAACAACAGCTTACATGAAGGAAGAAAAAAAAAGGTAGGCATCCATTGGCTAACAAATCCAGAGAATTAGGGACCTACCTACCTGAGTGTTTCACATTCTTTGCACATCATATATTGGGACAGAATGGCTGCTTAATCTCCAACCATCACATCTACATTCCAGGTACCAGAAAAGAGTTAGGGGGGGAAAAAAAGCCTTCCAAGAAAGTCCTCTGGAAGTCTGATAAAGTACATTTCTTTACATTATACTGGCCAGAACTGGGTCACCTGGCCACACCAAGGTGAATGTGAAAAGATAAGAGTGGATTTGAGGGTAGGCAACTACCATCTTGCAATGGGAATCCTGGCTTTCCCTCAGGCCAAACCTTCCCCTCCTAGAGCTGCTGGCATCTTCTCTGAGCCCAGGACAAGTCCTGGGAACCATGATATGGCTGGATCTGAGACATCTTCAAGCAGACACGAGCTGGCAAGGAAAGAACCAGATCAGAGCCAGGAAGCCAGTGGAGGGGGCCGGTGCAGACACAACCCCTCAACCTGCCCTCAAGGCATCAGTCCTCCTACCTCCATCACACCTGCCCAGGAACAGAGTGGACCAAAACACCTTCCAGTGCTGCAGTGGAAGGTTCAGTGACCTGTGACACGACGGGCGGCGTCATCCGAGAGATTTGCTGTGCAAGTTTGCCTGCAGCAGCTCCTCTTTTTTCCACCAGCTGCCTCTTCCCACATGCTCCCCTTGCCCCCAGTGAGCCATGTTGCTCAGTGGCTCAAACTGGAGTGCATATTCCTTGTCAGGACCCAGGAGTCTGCACCGGAACAAACGTTCTCAGACATTACTGTCATAAAACAGGATCTGTGTGATTCTCCTACTGAAAGGTGAGTGCTGTTGCCCTCCCCAGCCCAGACTGGAGTCCGAGTCTCCCCAGCAGTGCTGGTTATCAGTGACTTGAGCTGCTCTCGGCCTCTGCTCAGCAAGTTGCTGACTTGACCCTCGTTAGCCTCTGCTGACTTAACAAAGCCCATAAAAAGCATTTAACAGCCTCCACTACCAATTAGTTGTGAAGCACTCCAAGAAGATGTTTGCATGGTGCCCACGGGTTCTGTGGGTGCTCCTCGAAGATGTCAATAATGGGGTCAAAGAGCGTTGATAATTATACACCATACCCCAAAGTTTGCTTCATTATCAAGCCTTATACAAAGCAAGGCACCAGTGGGAGCAAATTAATAAGCAACTCTAATAAAAGACCCCCTCACTAATAATCACACCAACTCTGCTTCTCTGTAGCATGCACCCCTCAGAGGGTGTTCTCCCTGTACACAGGTAGTATGCAGAAATCACTGGGCTGGGAGAGGCAATACCACTTATTCAAAACCAGTAAACCCTTCTGTCTTTTGCCCAGAGGCCCTCAGGAAGGACCTGATTAGAGAAGAGCTTTGATTTTCCCCCTATCTCATGTTGTTTGACATTTTAGATTTTACAAGTGTAATATTCATATAAAATAGGAGGCAGGAAACATTTGATATGAATCATCATGTTATCACTAGCTGGTTAAGAAAAAGTTTCCCCAAGTCTTTGCCCCAAAGGGGCAGTAATAATCCTCAAGTTCTCAGCCTAATACCCAGCAAGGGCTTACTTCCTGATACACATAGAAACAAGTCCTATGGCACTAGATTTTGCAAAAAGGATGAGTTTTATTTTAGGCCAATTAACAAGGAGAAAGGAAATACTCAGCCCAATGGAGCCAGGAGCAAAAGAACTTAAGTGGGTCAGAGGAAGGGGAAATGAGGCGGATTGGCTGTTCCTGGGAATCTTGGTGATTAGTCCACACCCAGTACTGAGTCCACATGGAGCTCATGGATTGTGCAACCATTGAGATAACCCCTTGCTTCTCAACAGGGTCCAGAAGGTCTTGTTCTCATTGTCCAGGTCTTGCTAGCCATGGACTTTGGTTCTACGGGGCTCGAAAAGTCATTTGAGGTCAGGTATCAAGAATTTTGAGGAGCAGGGAAGTTGCCATCTTACAGCCTGGTTTCACCCCACATCGATCCCTTTTTATATTTGGGCACAGCAACTAGAGAATTTGTTCCAGGGAACAAGATGTTACAGTTTGGATATGAGATGTACCCCCAAAACTCCTGTATTAAGGCAGGAATATTCAGAGGTGAAGTGGTTGGTGTTATGGTTTGGATGTGAGGTGTCCCCCAAAAGCTCACATGTGAGACAATGCAAGAAGGCTCCGAGGAGAAATGATTGGGTTGAGTCTTAACCCAAGCAGGGATTTAATCCCCTGATAGGGATTAACTGAGTGGTAACAGAAGTGGTAGAGTGTGGCTGGAGGAGGTGGGAATTAGGGTGTGGCTTTGGTGTTTATATTTGTATCTGGAGAGTAGAGTCTCTCTCTGCTTCTTGATCACCATGATGTGAGCTGCTTCCCTCTACCACACACTCTGCCATGATGTTCTGCCTCACCTGAGCCCTGAGGAATGGAGCCAGCCTTCTAAGGACTAAGATCTCTGAAACCTTGAGCCCTCAAATGAACTCTTCCTCCTATATATTTCTATTAAGATCCTTTAGTCACAGCAGCGAAAAAACTGACTAAAACAGTTGAATTGTAAGAGCTGTAACCCAATCAGTCCATCCTCATTTGAGTGAACTGACTGGGTGATACCTGTAGCAGGTGGGGCATGGCTGGAGGAGGTGGGTAACTGAGTACATGCCCTGGAAGGGTTCATCTTCCCTGCAGCTCCTCTCTCTCTCTCTCTCTCTCTCTCTCTCTCTCTCTCTCTCTCTCTCTCTCTCTCTCTCTCTCCTCTTTCTCCTCTTTCTCTCATTCCTGGCCTCCATGAGTGAAGCAACTTCCCTCCACCACACCCTTCCACCATGACATTCTCCCTTACTCAGGCCCTGAGAGATGGAGTCAGCCAACAATGGACTGAACCTCTGAAACCATGAGCCCCAAATAAACTTCCCTCCTCAAAGTTGTTCTGGTCACATATTTTGGTCACAGTGATGGAAAGTTGACTAGCGCACAATGAGAGCAGCTTCATTTTCCCGTGGTATTCACAGGATGAAAGTCTCCCTCTGGTTCTGGCTCCTTTTTATTTTAGCTTCCCTCAAAAGTACCAAAGATGAAATATCCCTGTCTCCCACCCCATCAGAAGCCTTTGGTCTGGGTTTTTTTGTTGAGTCAAAGCAGTGTGTATGTGTGTGTGTGTGTGTGTGTGTGTGTGTGGTTTTAGACACAGGAAGAGAAATGAACTGAAGAGCCAAATAGGGTCTAAAGTCCCTCCAGCCCTGACTTCCCTTATTACTTTAGCCCCAGACTTTTGAAATCAAAATTTGTAAAAATTGACTAAGGGTCTACCTTTAGTGGCGAGAAGTAGAGGGAGTCTTTACCCTGTTGTGTTAACTTTCTGTTTCCCCAACAAAATGCCTGAGATAATCAACTCATAAAGAGAAAAGGTTATGTTGGCTCACATTTTTGGAGGTTTCAGTCCATGATTGGTTGGCCATATTACTTTAAGACTCTGGTGAGACAGCCCATCATGGTGGGAGCACACAGCAAAGCAAAACTATTCTTCTCATCTTGAGCCAAGGATCAAAGAGCATGAGGAGGGGGCACTATCCTTGTCAAAAACCTAACGAAATAAGGGCATCCCACTCGGGAGGTTCCACCACCTCCCAATAGCGCTATGTGGGAAGCCTGGCCTTTGACACCTGGACCTTTGGAGCACACTCAAGACTTGTGTTTTTTAAAAATAAGACTAGTTTACTGGAGGGAAAAAAAGATTCTATAAACAAGCCAGAATTCCAGACCAAAGATGATTCGTAATGCCTTACCCCTGGCAACCGAGGGTGAGCTGCTTTTATAACCAGAGAGACAGGAAGTAACATACAGAATCAACCCGTTGGTGAAGTCTGCCATTTGCCTTATTTGGGCATAACGTAGCAGCCTTCAATCTGGAATGGGCTGAGGGGTGGCTGCTGGTTTTGGCCGAGACTCGGTTGCTTAGCTACCATAGTTTTAGGTTATGTTAAACCTTCTTGCACATCAAGTTAATTTGTAGTTTACTATATATGAAGGCCCCTTTGGGTCAAAGTCAAACACAGAGGTTGCTTAAGGCCAGCCTGTCACCCTGCATATGTGTACCCCTCTGCCCTCAGAATTTAACATGAGTAATCACTTCCCCTGTGTCCATGCTTGTGCTCACTGTTGTGCCCCTGCATGACAAAGTGGCTCACAAAGGATAGGCCCAGGCCAGAGAGCATTCAGAAGGTACTCATTAAAAACTCGAGGTTCAGCAGTACCATCTCCCCTTCCATGGGGAGATAACAGGGAATGTTCAGCATCCCAGGACCTCCCTGTGGAAGCTCTTCATATCCTTGTTGGTACATTGTTCCCCTTTCCCTGCTAGGAACATCTAGCACCTTCCAGGTGAGGTTGGGACAGACAGTGTATGCACCTGCCCTTGAGAAGTACCTAAACCCTTAAACTATAAACAAGATGAGCCCTTAAACTATGATCAAATCTACTTCCTGTTAAAGGGCAACTAACTATAAAACATAAGAATGAATATTACAGAGGATGAATTATTTGTATTAAAAATGAATATATTCAACTCTGCATTTCTCCTGGAGCCAGCGACTGCCGCGGGGTCTAGGGTCCGCCTTCCCACACTCCGGGAACCAGTTGGGGGCGCGATGAGGCCCAGCAAGGCAGACGTGGAGCGGTATATCGCCTCCGTGCAGGGTTCCGCCCCTGCGCGGAGAGAGAAGTCAATGAAAGGATTCTATTTTGCGAAGCTGTACTACGAAGCTAAAGAATATGATCTTGCTAAAAAATACATATCTACATATATTAATGTGCAAGAGAGGGATCCCAAAGCTCACAGATTTGGGGGTCTTCTCTATGAAGCTGAAGAAAACACAGACAAAGCTGTTGAATGTTATAAGCGTTCAGTGGAATTAAACCCAACACAAAAAGATCTTGTGTTGAAGATTGCAGAATTACTTTGTAAAAATGATGTTACTGATGGAAGAGCAAAATACTGGATTGAAAGAGCAACTGAACTTTTCCCAGGAAGTCCTGCAATTTATAAGTTAAAGGAACAGCTTTTAGATTGTAAAGGTGAAGATGGATGGAATAAACTTTTTGACTTGATTCAGTCAGAACTTTATACAAGACCTGATGATGTCCATGTGAATATACGACTAGTGGAGCTGTATCGATCAAATAAAAGATTGAAGGATGCTGTGGCCCACTGTCATGAGGCAGAGAGGAACATAGCTTTGCGTTCAAGTTTAGACTGGAATTTGTGTGTTGTGCAGACCCTTACGGAATATCTGGAGTCTTTACATGTTTGGAATCTGATAAAAATGACTGGCAAGCAACCAATAAAGACTTACTTCTGGCTTATGTTAACCTTATGCTACTTACACTTTCCACCAGAGATTTTCAAGAAAGTAGAGAATTACAGGAAAGGTTTGATAGTGCTCTTCAGTCTGTGAAATCCTCTGTAGGTGGAAATGATGAACTGTCAGTTACTTTCTTAGAAATGAAAGGACATTTCTACATGCATGCTGATTCTCTGCTTTTGAAGATGGGTCAGCATAGTGATGTACAATGGTGAGCTCTCTCTGAGCTGGCTGAATTGTGCTATCTCATAGCATTTCATGTCCTGAGACCAAAGATTAAATTAATAAAAGGAGAAAATGGACAGAATTTACTGGAAATGATGGCCCATGATCATCTCAGCCAATCAGGGCACATGTTGCTGAACTTAAGTCGTGGCAAGCAAGATATTTTAAAGGAGGTTGTGGAATCTTTTGCCAATAAAAGTGGACAGTCTGCCCTGTATGATGCTCTGTTTTCTAGTCAATCACCTAAGGAGAGATCTTTCCTTGGTAGTGATGATATTGGAAACATTGATGTACAAGCTCCAGAGCCTGGTGATTTGGCTAGATATGATGTTGGTGCTATTCGAGCACACAATGGTAGTCTTCAGATGTTGAGAGCCATGGCCAGGTCAAGATGGTGCCTGGCATTTTGCCAGAAGGGGCGGCTCCTGTTGCCTCGGGTGCCCGCTACTTTTGAGTTCTCGCGGAGTTTCAGTTGAGTTCCCGGTTGAGTTCTTGCGGAGTTCCCATTGAGTTCACATGGGTTCTGGAATAAAGTTCGTTCCTGCTTGAATCTACAAGTGGCTCGTGACCTCCTGGTTATTTGTGCCCAGCCAGACTGCAGCACTTTTCTAAAACACTATCTTTCAACATCTATGTTCATCCCTTGCTATCTTCAGGAGGTTGGTTCCAGGATCCCACTTGGACACCAAAACCCATGGATGCTTAAATCCCTTATTTAAAACTTCATAGTATTTGAGTATATCTACACACATTCTCCTATATTCTTTAAATTATCTCTAGATTACTTAAAATATCTCTAGATTACTTAATATAATGTAAATGCCATGCAAGTAGTTGTTATGTTATATTGTTTAGGGAATGATAGCAAAAAAATAAAAAATAAAACAGTCTGTACATGTTCAGTACAGACAATTTTTTTCTTTTAACTTTTTTTCTATCCAAGTTTTGTTAAATCCTCAGGATGTAGGACCCACAGGGTATGAAAGGCCAATGAACTGACCATTCCTGGTACCCTTGACCTCCAAATCAGCAGTCTCCTGCAGGTGAATCTGAGGCATTCCAACACATGGATGTGAAGGTATCACCAGACTCACTTCTGCACAGAATGAGCCACACCCCAAATGCTTATCTGGCATGGAGGCAGGGTGACCAGAATGCAGGAAGGGCAGGGCCCAGGGAGAGGCTGGGAATACTGAACACACCTACCCACAATAACTCTGAGCACTGGACCATGTGCTTCATTCCTGGACTTCTGCCCCAGGACTACACATACCAAGTGGACAAGGCTCTGCCAAGTGACTCCAAGGGGAAGAACATCCCAGGCTACCTCCAAAGCTGCTGACTTCTGTCTAGTTCCTCCTGGGCCTCTTAACCCAGAAATGTGAAGGCAGCTGGACCCACACCTCCCCTCAGTTCCCTGGGGCTGAAGAGAAAGAGAAGGGAGACACAGAGGTCTCCAAGTAGCAAAAAAATGGTGCTGTGTTCTCAATTCACCTCTGAATATTAGGGGAATGGGGATGGATCAGGAGGGGTCAAAGGAACTAGCTCAGCACCCGGAAGCTTCATTTGCCAACTTCTCTGTATATTTGCTATTTTTTTAAATAAAATGTTGGAAGGAAGGAAGGTATAAGGGATCAAAGTTGTCCCTGAAACATTAAAACATACTTGTTCTGTCCTATCCTTTGAGGGGGATAAACCATCCCTTAGCCATAACCTTGGGGGGCCCTGGCTCCACTTGGGGACACCCATTTGCCTCGCCAGTCAAAAGAAATCCCAACGTGATAATATTTGCCACGCCAAACACCAGTCCAACAAAAGACATCTTATTTTACACATAATTTCAAAACATATTTTGTGTATGAAACATGGCCCCTGAAATCCTGGAATTCCTGTGTTTCCAGATTGTGGCAGGTGGTTTTTCAAGGAGGGGTGGGAGAGCACTCCTTCCAGTGAGCTCTTACATTGATGTCCACTCTAACAAAACAGAAGATTATTTGAGTCAGCTTTCTGTTGTGACAAGATACCTGAAATAATCAAATTTTAGGGAGGAAAGATTTATTTTGGCTCATGTTTTCAGAAGTTTCAGTCCCTGGTTTCTCCGCCCCATCACTTGGGGCCTGTGTTGGCACAGTACCTCATGGCAGGAACACAGGATGGAAGAGTTCTGATCACTTCATGGTGTCCAGGAAGCAAAAGAGAAAGAGGAAGGGGAGGGGTCCCATCATCCCCTTCCTGAGCATGCCCCCAATGTCCTAACTTCCTCCTACTAGGCCACACCTCCCGATAGGGCTGTGGGCTGAGACCGAGCCTTTAACACATGTGTCTTTGGGGGATATTCAATATACAAGCTATCACTAGGGTCTCTTGGGTTGCTAAGAGGAGGGATCTGAAATCCTCTGCCTGCTTCCTCCCTGAAGGGTCCCTATAGGATGCCTCTATTAACACCAAAGTAATAGGGACACTTCTGCCCTGCACCGACAGGGATATGTGGTCATGTGCTCTTAGTCTCGCTGACACCAAAAATGGACATGGAGCCTGGCCCCAACCCCACCCATAGTTCATCACCTTGGTTAGGGCAGATACACATCACATAGTGTCTGAACTGACTCTGGGGGTCCCCGAAGGAAAGACAAGACCTTAAACCACCGAAGGACACACTGAGCCGAGATTTTATTGAGCGGAGGCACTGCCCCTCCTTCTCACAGCTTCCTGTGGGTCCTGGATCCCCAAAGGCCTCGTTGCTCCTCACAATTGTCTCTCAACCCCACTCTCCCACCCGAAGCAAGTATCTGCAATAGTAAGTTACTTTTATGTGACACTGGGACAAAAATGCATCTTCTTTTATTCAGTATATTCATCAAAATCAACACAGTTCATAGACATTTGCATTTTTCATAAGAAAGCCCACATTTGAAATATGGGCTCTTGGTTTTAGGTTAGGGGCTTTGGTGACTATCAGAGAATTAAATCGAGGCTTGAATCCACAGGCACAGAGCCCTGGAGACCCATGGAAGGCTGCAAGGGAATACTTTTGCAAGATGGAAACCCCTCTCAGTGCATATATTTTCTGAGATGCTGTTCCACTGGCACCTTCTCCAGCATCTCATGGAGCTTGTTACTGTGCAGTCAATGAAGAAAGATTCCTTTTCCAGGCTGGGTCAGACTTTCCATGAATTAAGCATAGGGAGGCCTAATTATATGTCATTTGATGAATGCCTGGGCTGAACTAGTCTAAGGGTACAGAATGATAACCTCATCAACATCAAGACCAGAAAGCATGGGCCCTCTGGCCCTGTGGCCTCACTGCTGTAGGAATAGCAGAGGGAAGTTGTACATTTCCCCACTGACAGAGTTGCAGGGAGCCTCTGCCTGGACAGAGTCAACCTTGCTGCATCATAGATCTGTCTAAAGTCACCACAAGCAGGGGAGTGCCACATAAGAAAAAGTAAAAGGCTCAATGTTATGGTTGCCTTAGTCAGTTGACTAATCTGCAAACTGAGACCAAGGTAGAAAGTCGCTCATTATTCATTTATTAAGTGCCTACCCTGTTTACTGTTCTGGTACTTGGGGAATCAGTAGTGAAGAAGATGGTATCATTTCTATGTCCATATCTCAATGTTCTCTCCCAGAGACAAGTGACTTTAGCCCTATCCTTCTGAAAGCACTTCTGGAATGACCTATGGATAAAGAAGTGATAACATTATTATTCAAAGATAATTTTGAAAGAGAAAACAACTACTCGTAGTCAAACTTCCAGGATGGTGGGCACCAACAAGGACTGTCTTGAGCAAATCAGTATTGGACAGTTCCATCAAAGGGTTTATGCATATGTGTATGTGTGTGCGCACACACACACGCACACATGTTCATGTATCACAGGGTTTTAGAAAGCCTTTTGCAACCTCAAAAACTCTGCATTCCATTTGTGCCTGATTTTTATCAAGGTGCAAGTGTTTTAATCCCACAGTCAGAAATAAGGCTTCCGGCATGTGAAAGCTGTCACATTCAGAATGGAGTCACCCATGTCAAACCCTGACAGCCGGAGCCAGGAAAGGTCAGGGAGGGCTCTCAGCTCAATTTTCTCAGTAATGGGCTGTCATAGGACAGCAAGCAGCACAAGAACTGTTAACCACTTATGCACAAATACTTGCCTGACTCACGCTGTCTCACAAGCCCAATCCAATGAAGCAGCCTGCTCTACCTTGTAAGGCTATTTTTGCTTAATAACGGATGGTGAAACTGCCAACTATGACCACAATCGGGGCTTTATGTAGTAACTGCTGCTCAACATCAGAGCCTGCTGGCTCCCACAGGCACCAAGAGTGCCAAGGAAATTTCTTTCAAAATAACTTGTGGAGATTCCTCTGCCCTAATAAAACTGCAGTCTTTTCTTCATTCTTTGGACAAACTAGAGGCCACCCTGGCCTGTGCTTGTATTTTTCCAGATTGCAATCCTATTCTCTGCTTATTCCAAATAAAAGTTTCTTTATTAAAGACTCATCTCTAAATTTTTCCTTGACTTTGACTAATGTATATACTCCTCCTGGGAGAGGTCAAAGCTGATCTGACTTCATGCTGATGGATCAGACTTTGATTGGCAGTGTTGAGAAAGGGATGAGGCCAGTCCAGAGGAGAGGAAATGCTACAGAAACATGAACTGGGATCTGAAGACAAACCTCATCCCTCTCCACCTCTCAGTGTACCCATATGTATAAGAAGGTCTCTACTTTACCTCCTGCTGTGGTTTGGATATGAGGTGTCCCCAAAAAGCTCTTGCAAAATGGTTAGATTATGAGAGCTATGATCTAATCAGTGAATTAATCCATTTGATGGATTAATAATTTGAAAAGTGGTAACTGTAGGCATATGGGACATGACGAGAATATAGATCACTGGGAGCATGCCCTTGGGGATTATGTCTTGTCCCCCTGGCTTATCCCCTCCTCTCTATTTCTGCTTCCCAAACACCATGAGCTGAGGAGCTTTCCTGCCCTGGACCCTTCAGCCATGATGTTCTGCCCCACCTCAGGCCGAGAGCTGTGGAGTTGGCCAAACATGGACTGAGACCTTTGAAACCATGAACTCCAATTAAACTTTTCCCCTCGAAATTGTTCTTGTCAGATGTTTTGGTCACAGAGATGAAAGTCTGACTAACAGCCCTCTCAAAGTTCTTGGCTCTCAAGTTTAGAGCAACGCAGCCCATCAAACATGGCATGTACTGGCATCTGAGCCCCACTGGCCTCATACCCTTCGGTCCATGCAGGCCTGGGGTACCTGACACTCTCTCAGCTCCCAGGTTGTTCCTTTGGACCTGAAGTCCACTAGAAGTAGAGAGAGGCCACCTGCAACAAGATGCTTCTTCTTTAGCATGATGTATGTTAACCTCTGCAAGCTTGAAAAAATAAAAAGGCCTGGGAAGCAATAAGTTGCATGTAAAGCACGAGTAGGTCACTGGTTTGTGTCAATGGAAGAAAAG